TCAGCGGCCATGGCTCACGGGCCCAGCTGCTCCGCGGCATGTGGGATCCTCCCGGACCGGGGCACGAACCCGCGTCCCCCTGCATCGGCAGGCGGACTCCCAACCACTGCGCCACCAGGGAAGCCCTGTATCATTTCTTAAACCTAGAGTTGGAAGTTATTGTGGTCATAGGTCATGTGATTTGAGATAACAAACACTGTACCGGTGTGCGCAGTATATGACCGACCATGGACTGCGTGGGCCCCGAGCCCCGCTAGGAAGGAAGCAGGTCTTTATTCCAGCTGCCCGTCTCTCAATGCCTCACTGCATCCTTTGTGCCCCATGACACATGAATTTGTTACAACATTTCTTCTGTGGATTCTCAAAGGTCTTCGCCTGCATTCTTCATTTTCAGATCCAGAGGAGCAAGGAGACATCGTGGTCGCATTGTACCCCTATGATGGCATCCACCCAGACGACTTGTCCTTCAAGAAAGGAGAGAAGATGAAAGTCCTGGAGGAGTAAGTGCGCCCAGGCATCCCCCCCCCCGCCGCCCCGTCGCTTGCTGCCCTGGCTTGGCCACCAGCAGCACTATGCAGCAGACGCCCCTCTGGGGTGGACATGGGGCCCCCAGCTTCCTTGCTGCCCGAAGGAGCAGGGCTAGAGAGATTTTCCTCTTAGGCTTTGCTGTGAGCACTTCCCAAGGGTTTTCCCTTTCTTTCCTTATCCATCAGTGCTGTCTTAAGAGGTTTGGGTCTAGGTGGAGTTTGCATGTTATTTTAATTCCATTTCTAAAAAATTTTTATTTATTTATTTACTTATTTGGCTGTGTTGGGTCTTCGTTGCTGCGCGCAGGCTTTCTCTAGTTGCGGTGAGCGGGGGCTACTCTCCATTGCGGTGCGCGGATTTCTCATTGCAGTGGTTTCTCTTGTTGCGGAGCACGGGCTCTAGGCACGTGGGCTTCAGTTGTTGTGGCTCGTGGGCTCAGTAGTTGTGGCGCACGGGCTTAGTTGCTCCATGGCATGTGGGATCTTCCCGGACCAGGGCTTGAACCCGTGTCCCCTGCATTGGCAGGCGGATTCTCAACCACTGCAACAACAGGGAAGCCCCTTACCATTTTTATTTCGTTATTTACTCACATTAAGACTGGGTGTATGGGTCCAACTGAGTGTGACTCTTCAGGTGGTGCTGAAGCAGTGGTCGTCTCGGGAGAGTCCCCACTCAGCATTTAGCGTTTCTGTGAAGATGCTTGGACATCATTTCCTTGACCCCCTCCAGGCTGACTCGCACACCTGTGGCCCTGCTCAGACCACAGGGCTCAGCGCTGTGCTGAGAATAATGAACTCCAAGAATTCCAGTAATCTTTCATATGGTGTCACCTTGGCCTGCCAACTGGGACACCCTTGGCTGGTTGGAGGAGGGAGACCCTGATTAAGTTTATGGTGTTGAGTGGCTGAGAGCAGTTGTCAGTTCCTGGCTGAGTGTGAACTTGAGCCAGATCCTGGCCCTGCCACCTGATAGCTGTGTGACCTTGACGAGTCACTTCAACTCTACACCTTAGTGTCTTCACTTATGAACCGGGAACAGCAATACCTCTGTCATGGGGTTGATGTGAAGGTTATGTGTGTACATATATATAAACATGGCACAGGCATGTAGTGGACCACAGCCTAGTGGCAGCTGTAATTGTCCTTCACGTCTTGCAGACGAGGGTCCCGTCTGGGTGTGGGAATCTGATGGGGAACATAGTTGAGGCTTTCACAGGGACCCGTCCATTCCTCCCTCCCCAGCCCCTTCCCCAGCTCCACGCCTCTCACAGAAGATGAGAGTGTGGTGACGAGGCCTATAGCTGCTTGGGATTATTTTATGGTTTTCTATTTCTTTTTCCCATGGCTTGTGTCTATGGAAATGAGATGTTTTAACAAAGGAGTTTATGACATAGGAACTATGGCCCTTTATTCCCTTTAACTCCCATTTCTGTAAGGACCCTAAAGCGTTTCTTAGATGTGAACTTTTTGTTTCTGCAAGATGGGAACCATTTTCACCAACCCCTGTTTGGCAGCTCTGAGCACAGCGACCCATACTTCAGTCGTGAGACTGTTTTCTTTTGCTTCCATCCCTAAACGTATTTATGTTTTAGCAAGAAGTATGAACTTTCTCCCTGGATTCTGGGTTTCCAGGGGTCTTCCCTGCCCTCCCTCACCCTGCAAGACAGACACATTAAGACAATTGCTCTTGTAGTTCTTGAGTCATTGAAAACAAACCCTTTTGGATGCGTGTTTCTATTCCAGGCATGGAGAATGGTGGAAAGCTAAATCCCTTTCGACAAAGAGAGAAGGCTTCATCCCCAGCAACTACGTAGCCAAAGTCAACACCTTGGAAACGGAAGAGTGAGTCCTTTCCCGTGTCGTCTGGGACAGCTCTGTTTGTGGTTCTGGGTTTCTTGTTTATTCTTCGTCTTTTTCCTTCCCGGGATTAAAACACCCATGAAATGTTAATATGTCTTCTCAGGTGGTTTTTCAAGGATATAACCAGGAAAGATGCAGAAAGGCAGCTTCTGGCACCAGGGAACAGCGCTGGAGCTTTTCTTATCAGAGAAAGTGAAACATTAAAAGGTAGGAAGTGACATAAGGCCTCTTATAAAACACTGTTTAGGAAATCATTCTTAGAAACGATTCTAGAATCCTGAAAAAAAAAAAAAAAAGAATTTTTTTTGGAAAAAAAGTCAATTATTGGCAGACCTCGTTTTATTGGCTTCACTGTATTGCGCTTTGCAAATACTGCAGTTTTTTACAAACTGAAGGTTTGTGGTAACCCTGCATCGAGCAAGTCTATTGGTGCCATTTTTCCAAGAGCATTTGCTCACTTCATGAGCAAATGTGTCTCTATGTCACGTTTTGGTAATTCTTGCAGTATTTCACACTTCTTCTTTATTATTATATTTGTTATGAGTGATCTGTGATCAGTGATCTCTGATGTTACTATTATGACTCACTGAAGGATCAGATGATGGTTAGCAATTTTTAGCAATAAAGTGTTTTTTTAATTAAAGTATATATGTTGGTTTTTTAAACTTATGCTATTGAACACTTAATAGACTACAGTACAGTGTAAACATAACGTCTTTAATGCACTGGGAAACCGAAACGTTTGTGTGATTTACTTTATTAGGATATTTGCTTTCTTGAGGTGGTTTGGAACTGAGCCCACAATATCTCTGAGATGTGCCTGTACTGTGTTCTGGTAGTGGGAGTTTTATAGTTTGATAACAAATAACAAGCTCAAATGATTAGTTTTGCTACTAAAAGTAACACAAAAGCAGACGTAATTGTGGTTATTTTTTTTACCAAGCTTTATGTTTACTGAGCCTCTTAGATTATTATTTAGTATAAAACTTGAAATTTTAAGAGAAAGAAAATCAAAATAACTTTTCAATTCAGCAAAATAATTTTTAAAACACCCATCACAAAGAAGAAAAAGTGTGTTGGTAAGCTTCACAGCAAACAAAGCACTAGCTTTGTTTGTCAAGTAGACTTTTTATAAGACTTTAAAATTATGCACTATATACATGCTCAATTTATATTTTGCATATTTTTATGGCAAAATGTGTCCACGGTGTGTATAATACCAACGTTTTAAAAAATATTTTATTGACGTATAGTTGATTTACAATTTTATGTTAATTTCTGCTGTACAGCAAAGTGATTCCATCACACATATATATATTCTTTTTCATATTCTTTTCCATTATGGTTTATCGCAGGATATGGAATATAGTTCCCTGTGCTCTACAGTAGGACCTTGTTGTTTATCCTTATCGCAGGATATGGAATATAGTTCCCTGTGCTCTACAGTAGGACCTTGTTGTTTATCCATCCTATACGTACTAGTTTGCACCTGCTAATCCCAAACTCCCAATCCTCCCCTCCCCCATAATGCCAATCTACTTACAAAATGTAAGTGTAATCTTTGCTTGTACTTCTTCCCCCACAGGCAGTTACTCTCTGTCTGTCAGAGATTATGACCCCGTGCATGGTGACGTTATTAAGCACTACAAAATCAGAAGTCTGGACAATGGGGGTTATTACATCTCGCCACGAATTACTTTTCCTTGTATCAGTGACATGATTAAGCATTACCAAAGTAAGTGAAAATGCAAGGTCAGAAAAGAAAAGATACGTCTGTTATGATAAATATATGGTGTCAAACATTTATGTTAAATTTTTTTGTATCCTGAAACTTTATTGAGTTCATTGATGAGCTCTAGTAGTTTTCTGGTGGCATCTTTAGGATTCTCTATGTATAGCATCATGTCATCTGCAGACAGTGACAGCTTTACTTCTTCCTTTTCAATTTGGATTCATTATATTTCTTTTTCTTGTCTGATTGCTGTGGCTAGGACGTCCAATACTGTGTTGAATAAAATGTTTTATGTATCATATTTCTTTTGGATAAAGTTGGAGGATGATATTCTATAATTGGTTCTAAATTAATCTATAAGTATACATTCAAAGTCAGATTTGATCTTTGTGAATAATTATCCTAGTCCTTCCCACCTAGTTTGTGCTGTTTAACAGTTAACGTTCCAGAATTGCAAAGAGAAAGATGGATATTATTTTCGCATAGTACATATTTTTACAACGCATCTTCAAATATCTGGAATACGAATGCAAATCTGTAGACCTGTGTCCTAGTGTATACATGTCTATGTGTGTGTAAAGTACATACCACGAGTATGTATTATTACTCTTGGTAAGAGAAAACAGAAATAACAATAGCACCAAAATATTTAGAAGTGGCCTGTCAGTGGTCCTCTGTCGCTAATCTACGCTACAGCCTGGCTAAGCTGAACCCACGACTGTGTGTTTGAGGCCAGTTTTAGTGGGCAACTCTTGTTACTGCTTATTTCTTCAACCTGCTCCAAGGGATTACACATAAAATTTGCTTAGGTCCCAAAATATGGAGAGAGCAAGTACCCCAGATTTTGTGGAGTCCTCCTTCCCTCTCTGTTACCCCCATCCATTTATCCATCTGGCACACGTGTTGAGGGCTTGTGGAGCCCTGGCCCTGTTCTGGCACTGGGGTCCTGTGGTGACGTGACCAAGTTCCCGCCATTGTGCCCTGGAGAGCTTACATGGGCTCTGTAATTAAAATTATATTCTATTAAGTGTAACAACATGTCAGCCTTTGTTTATCTGTTCATTTTGTTGTTTTTATTTTTATAGGTTAGCATTACTAATGAATAAAATCAAGTCTGTCTTAAATTGTCTTTCATTTAAGAATTTCAAAAGTCATGATTACGCAGAAGATAACCCTATAAGCATTTTAGGTTCATAGACCTTGGCAAGTTGAAAATGATAAGACTCATAGTCCAAACTTCCCTATAGATACTGGTAAAATACAAGGGATGACTTTTTCCACGTTTATTTTCTCTTTCAAATTAGAGCAGTCAGATGGCTTGTGCAGAAGACTGGAGAAGGCATGCATTAGTCCCAAACCACAGAAGCCGTGGGACAAAGATGCCTGGGAGATCCCCCGGGAATCCATTAAGCTGGTGAAGAAGCTTGGTGCCGGGCAGTTCGGGGAAGTCTGGATGGGTGAGTGTGCGGCTCTGGAGCCCGAGTCCCTCCTGGGGGCGACAGCAGGAGAAATAAGGGCTCCAGCCGATTTCTCTCAGTTTTCTCAGAAGCGTCGCTGCTTTTGTTTTCCTCTGTCCACCTGTGCCAAGAACTAGCCTACACAACCTACGTGATTAGACTCTTCCTCTTCCTCGTGCCTTAGTAGTTCTCTTTCAGGATGAATCTTTTTTTCACAAATTTATTTATTTATCTATTTTTGGCTGCATTGGGCCTTCGTTGCTGGGCGCATGGGCTTTCTCTAGTTGCGGCAAGCGGGGGCTCCTCTTCGTTGTGGTGCATGGGCTTCTCATTGTGATGGCTTCTCTTGTTGTGGAACACGGGCTCTAGGCATGCAGACTTCAGTAGTTGTGGTGCACAGACTCAGTAGTTGTGGCGCACAGGCTTAGTTGCTCCGCGGCAGGTGGGATCTTCCCGGACCAGGGCTCGATCCCGTGTCCCTGCATTGGCAGGCGGACCTTTAACCACTGCGCCACCAGGGAAGTCCCAAGGATGAATGTTTATAAGGAAGGGGGCAGTGGGCATCTATCCTGGTGGTTCTGTCTACTCTTCTGTGATTCTCTCATCACCAGATTCTCTGGACACAGGTTAAGTACAGGAATGTGCTTGCATCTCAGGGAAGGGTACACTTGGGTTAGGACCATCCTTACTAGTGGGCTTAATAGGAAGCCTCACAGGTATTGCAGTTTCTCACCAAGAAACTTTCTAAAGATACTCAAAATACCACCGTTAGAGAATCGTTCCTTACTGTTAAGTACTGCCTTCTCAGGCTGGCAAGAAGAGCACCAAAATGATAACAGTGGCTTTCTCCAGCAGATACTTTTTGCCCACCTGTCTTTTCTAGAGCTTTTATAATGACTGTGAATTCCTTTTTCTTTTGTAAAAAGAAATTTTTAAAACGATTTTTTACTGCATCATGGTTTCCACGCCAGCTTTGTGTGAGTGAGAGCAAAAATGATTTCTAAAGAGAAGGGGCAGACAGCTTTGAAAACCCATCCAGCCCCAGCCCAGCCGGTCTGCGAGGGAGAGGCTTCCCTCTAAAATCTCAGCCCCTGGGCTCACAGCTTTGCCCATTTTCTCCTGTTGTCACTGCTTTAGCCAAAGTATCATTTAAATATGCCTCTGCATATAATTAATTCTTACTGCGCTGTAAGTCTTTGGAAACGTGATAACGGAATTCAGGTAAATCATGAGTACACAACCTCACCTTGCTCACTGGGGTCTGCGTGTGTACCTGGCACTCTGTTTCCGGTCGGGCCCGCAGGTCTGGGGGTGTGATCTTGCTCTAGGTGTGTCTTTGCCCACCCTCTGCGGCCCAGATCGTCACCTCCTGCCCCTCCTTGCTCTGTCCACCTTTTTTTTTTAATTGAAGTAAAATTCATGCAACGTAAGATCAATCATTTTAAAGTGGACAACTCAGTGACGTTTACTACATTCACATGGTTGTGCAGCCACCACCTCTATTTAGTACCAAAATACTTCCATCACTCCAGGAGGAAACACTAGACACTCCCCTTCCCCCCCCGACCCTGGCCCCTGGACACCCACCCTCCTGCTTCCTTTCTCTATGGCTGTGATACCCTAGGGACCTCATGTAAGTGGAATCATACAGATGTTTGTCTTTTTGTGTCTGGCTTATCTCACTCAGCATGGTGTCCTCAAGGTTCACTCACGTTGTAGCCTATGTCAGAATTTCTTTCGTCTTTTATGGTTGAACAATATTCCATTGTATGTATATACCACAGCTTATCTATTTATCCATTGATGAACATTTGGGTTGTTTCCACCTTTGAGCTATTATGCATAATGCTTCTTTGAACATTCGTGTGCAAGTTATTGTGTGGACAAATGTTTTCATTTCTCTTAGTTATATACATCCTCCTAGGAGTGGAATTGCTGGGTCACATGGTAATTCTGTGTTTAACTTTTGAAGGAACTGTCAAACTGGTATCTGCTCTTTTTTCTTTTTTTTTAAATTGCCACTTTCCCCCGAGGTATTTTCAGTTACTTCTTAATATATTTTTTCCAAATCCACAAAATAGGGGCAGGTATAATAAACACTGTATATTCTTCACCTAGATTCACCACTTAATATTTTGCTGTATTCTCTACACACACACACACACACACACACACACACACACACACACACACATACATATTTTATTGTTATTGTGGAGCCACTTGAGGGTAAGTTGCAGAGGTGATGACTTTCACCCCTAAGTACTTACACAGGTGTCTCCTAAGAGCAAGGCCATCAACTCACACTGCACAGTGGTCACGTTCGGGAAGCTCCACGTTGGTCCACACTGTCTAGTGTAGAGTCTACATCCGAATTCCCCCCATTGTCCCAGTGGTGTCCTCATGGCTGTCGGGATCGTGTGTTTGCATTTAGTTGACCTGTCTGTAGTCTCCTTGAATCTGGAACGGTCCCCCAGCCCACCTCCATCGTTCATGATAGCTCAGTCACTTTGAGGAATGCCCCTCGTTTGGATTTTCTGTTTTTTCCGGTGACTTGGTCCAGGTTACGCCCTTGGGCACGAATAGCATCTAAGTGTTAAGCGATGCCGTGTCTTCCTGCGTCCATTGCGGCACAGAATGAGGGTTGGTCCCATCATTGCCAATATTCTGTTTCATTTTAAGGAGGACCACCAGATTTCTCCATTATGAATGTGAGTTTTTCATTCCCTGTTGTAACTAATGAATCATCTGTAGGGAGAGTCTTTAAAATTGTGTAAATATCCAAAAGAGCTTTCCCCAGATGGTTTCAGCATTACTTGCTCATTTGGATTCTCATCCCTCTTAGAGGCCATAACTTCTCTGAAAGCTGCAGGCGTCTGTCCTCTGACCACCCTCCCCTAAACACGGCGACTCCAACCTCCAGCTCAGGTCAGGAACCGGGGACTCTGCGTCCCGTCCCTCGCCTCCCCTTTCCAGACTTGTGTCTTTAGTGAGCTTATTGGCAGGAGAATACACACATTCATTATTGCATTTCACTGCCCTCTAGGTCTCCAAGTCCATCCTTGCTCTCTGCACGTGACTGGGGACGAGATGAGTGTCCAGGGGGAGGGGGGGAGAAAAGAATGTCCCAGCTACACATTCCAAGTGCATTTTCATCCACTGTCTCACATACTCGCAGCAGTAGGGCTGGAAGAGAGGAGTCACTGTCACCATCGATGAATGAGTGCCCTGAGAAGCAGGAAAGCAGCTCACCCAGAGTCACTCAGGGCGGGGAAGAAGCCAGCTGCTGCAGCCTCCCAGAGACTCGGGCTCGCTCGCTTGCTAAGCTACCTACAAGTTAGTTGGACCTCCCTGGCCTCAGTTTCCTCAGCAGGAAAGTGGGCA